AAGGTCACGAGGCAAGATGACCTCTCTGGTAAGGCCAACTGCGACATTAAAATCTTCGATTATCGAGTCCTTTGAAGTGATCTATTTTCTTTTGACCCTAAGAATAGGGCGGAAAGGGGCGCTAGCTGGCCTTGGTGAGGAGGGGGCATCTGATTCAGCTGATTTATGTCTTTTTGGAGCTCGGTNAGTATGTGATACTTAGCCTTGAAGGTAGAAACCTCAGAAGGGGTAAGAGGGGCCATTGGAAAAACGAAGCAGACTCAAAGAAGATGAAACACAGAAGCTGAAACAGGGAGTCTGAAAGCAAAGAGTAAAGTGAAGGAAATACGAAGAAAGGAGTGACTTTTTGAAGAAGAAAGAATTTCAAAGGGCGGTATTTAAATGCNAAAATTTCAAAAATTGAATCGTCGTCTTCAATCAGGGAACAAACATTGATCGGAGGATCAGTCTCAATTGGTAAAGAAGTTTCAAGAACCTGCCCTAAATTAGTTTGGTCAAGAGGGGGCAGACTTTCATCAACTGCTTCAGGAAGTGTCTCCTCGAGTATGAACTCGAGGATCGACTCATTTGTTCCAACGATCCTAGGTTCGGGAGCTGAAGGGGTTGGATCACTGGTCAGAGCCGTCTCATCTGTAGTTAAGAAATTTAAAAGGTTGATTGATTTACGTCCTAAAGTTGTTTGAGAAATCCTCTTTTTTTTCTCGGGGTGCCTTCTCACGAGCAGCTTGTAGTACCTCCCGATCAGTCGCTAATGCTGCATTAGGTCAGTTCGACACAACAATGAAAGAGGAATAAGTTGGCAAGTACCCAAGGAGAGTGTGGGTGGCTCGGTAGAAAAGTGATTCGTTAAAATCCCAAACCTTTTGAAGTTGATCCAACTTCACAGAAGATTTGGGAACCTTACCCTTCACAGTTTCACCTGCACCAGCGTCAGCACCATAGTAGTTATAATAATAATAAATAGATAAGTATATATATATATATATATATATATATATATATATATATATATAAAATTTTACTTGGTAAGCCTTCTTTGTAAGGGCAACTGTAGGATGGGGAAGCACCGACGGCATATTCCCAGTTGCCGGAGACGAAAACGACGTAATTTTCATGACCCTTCTTCGAGTCAGGAAGATGTGTGACCAGGTACCTCTTCTTTTTCCTCACAGAGAGATAATAACTATCTCCAGCCGCTTTGATGATGCAACGGTACAAAATTTCCCCCAAGCCAAGACTCAGACCTAGAAGTTTGTTCAAAGAAGAAACCCCCATGACGATACGAAAGAAATTGAGGCAACACTGGAGAGGGCAAAGTTTGGCAGCAGAAAGAAACCATAAGAGAAGGGGGTCAAGGGGAAAACGAATCCCACCTTCTGTTATGACACGAGTAGGAATTGGGATCCTCTCTCTTGTGCCAATCAGAGGCTCGTCTTTTCCTGCGACTCTGACTTCGACGTCGTCTAGTATGTGATACTTAGCCTTGAAGGTAGAAACCTCAGAAGGGGTAAGAGGGGCCATTGGAAAAACGAAGCAGACTCAAAGAAGATGAAACACAGAAGCTGAAACAGGGAGTCTGAAAGCAAAGAGTAAAGTGAAGGAAATACGAAGAAAGGAGTGACTTTTTGAAGAAGAAAGAATTTCAAAGGGCGGTATTTAAATGCTCTTAATATGCCACCAAAACAAAGGGGAATGCTTCAATGTACGAATAGTTATGATAAGAAATCAAGAAAACGGCTGATAGACGAAAGACGTCTGTCAGACATTTTCTGGGGACAAATGAAGGGGCTAATCCTCGTGATTACACGTGTTAGAGCATTAAATGGGCTCACGAGNCCTAAATTAGTTTGGTCAAGAGGGGGCAGACTTTCATCAACTGCTTCAGGAAGTGTCTCCTCGAGTATGAACTCGAGGATCGACTCATTTGTTCCAACGATCCTAGGTTCGGGAGCTGAAGGGGTTGGATCACTGGTCAGAGCCGTCTCATCTGTAGTTAAGAAATTTAAAAGGTTGATTGATTTACGTCCTAAAGTTGTTTGAGAAATCCTCTTTTTTTTCTCGGGGTGCCTTCTCACGAGCAGCTTGTAGTACCTCCCGATCAGTCGCTAATGCTGCATTAGGTCAGTTCGACACAACAATGAAAGAGGAATAAGTTGGCAAGTACCCAAGGAGAGTGTGGGTGGCTCGGTAGAAAAGTGATTCGTTAAAATCCCAAACCTTTTGAAGTTGATCCAACTTCACAGAAGATTTGGGAACCTTACCCTTCACAGTTTCACCTGCACCAGCGTCAGCACCATAGTAGTTATAATAATAATAAATAGATAAGTATATATATATATATATATATATATATATATATATATATATATAAAATTTTACTTGGTAAGCCTTCTTTGTAAGGGCAACTGTAGGATGGGGAAGCACCGACGGCATATTCCCAGTTGCCGGAGACGAAAACGACGTAATTTTCATGACCCTTCTTCGAGTCAGGAAGATGTGTGACCAGGTACCTCTTCTTTTTCCTCACAGAGAGATAATAACTATCTCCAGCCGCTTTGATGATGCAACGGTACAAAATTTCCCCCAAGCCAAGACTCAGACCTAGAAGTTTGTTCAAAGAAGAAACCCCCATGACGATACGAAAGAAATTGAGGCAACACTGGAGAGGGCAAAGTTTGGCAGCAGAAAGAAACCATAAGAGAAGGGGGTCAAGGGGAAAACGAATCCCACCTTCTGTTATGACACGAGTAGGAATTGGGATCCTCTCTCTTGTGCCAATCAGAGGCTCGTCTTTTCCTGCGACTCTGACTTCGACGTCGTCTAGTATGTGATACTTAGCCTTGAAGGTAGAAACCTCAGAAGGGGTAAGAGGGGCCATTGGAAAAACGAAGCAGACTCAAAGAAGATGAAACACAGAAGCTGAAACAGGGAGTCTGAAAGCAAAGAGTAAAGTGAAGGAAATACGAAGAAAGGAGTGACTTTTTGAAGAAGAAAGAATTTCAAAGGGCGGTATTTAAATGCTCTTNATAAATATATAATATATATATATATATAAATATAAAATTTTACTTGGTAAGCCTTCTTTGTAAGGGCAACTGTAGGATGGGGAAGCACCGACGGCATATTCCCAGTTGCCGGAGACGAAAACGACGTAATTTTCATGACCCTTCTTCGAGTCAGGAAGATGTGTGACCAGGTACCTCTTCTTTTTCCTCACAGAGAGATAATAACTATCTCCAGCCGCTTTGATGATGCAACGGTACAAAATTTCCCCCAAGCCAAGACTCAGACCTAGAAGTTTGTTCAAAGAAGAAACCCCCATGACGATACGAAAGAAATTGAGGCAACACTGGAGAGGGCAAAGTTTGGCAGCAGAAAGAAACCATAAGAGAAGGGGGTCAAGGGGAAAACGAATCCCACCTTCTGTTATGACACGAGTAGGAATTGGGATCCTCTCTCTTGTGCCAATCAGAGGCTCGTCTTTTCCTGCGACTCTGACTTCGACGTCGTCTAGTATGTGATACTTAGCCTTGAAGGTAGAAACCTCAGAAGGGGTAAGAGGGGCCATTGGAAAAACGAAGCAGACTCAAAGAAGATGAAACACAGAAGCTGAAACAGGGAGTCTGAAAGCAAAGAGTAAAGTGAAGGAAATACGAAGAAAGGAGTGACTTTTTGAAGAAGAAAGAATTTCAAAGGGCGGTATTTAAATGCTCTTAATATGCCACCAAAACAAAGGGGAATGCTTCAATGTACGAATAGTTATGATAAGAAATCAAGAAAACGGCTGATAGACGAAAGACGTCTGTCAGACATTTTCTGGGGACAAATGAAGGGGCTAATCCTCGTGATTACACGTGTTAGAGCATTAAATGGGCTCACGAGAGATTGACAAGACTGATCACGTGAGGAGGAAGTCATTCACCCAGTCATTTAATCCAAGCCGAACAGAATAAAGGGTTCGGCAAGAAGATTAAAGAGTTCGACTTTCATGCCTAGCTAACTCATGAATCCGTTCAGCAAAGCCAGAAAAGTGCTCGACTTGTACCACGCCAAATTTTCTAGAATGCGCGGTTTGTACCAAATTGAGTTTCCAAACAGTTCGGCAAACGTTAATCGAGCTTGGCATTCCCGAGCAGTTCACAATGATAGAAGAAAAGTTAAAGACTTGCCTAAAACTTAGGCAATCAGATAAACAAAATCAACGAGGTTGAAGATAGAATGAGAAATTGTTGGAGAAAAATTAGAAACCTTCCAAAACTCAATCTGAATGAAAGGAAGGTGTGCCACCTTGAACCGAAAGTCGTGGAAACCCTAATGGAATAATGATCTACAAAAGGCAGAGGAAGCCAAGGTGAAAGGTACGCTGAACTCTCCTTGTCTTCGTGCAATTCTTCTCGTTGCATTACTGACTTAAGCATCCGAGTGCCTTCAATCAGAGCACTTTGATCGCCTTCGATCAGAGCACTTTGATCTTGGATAGTTTGTTCGTTTTGCAGGAAGAAGATTTGAAGATAGTTCAGATTTTTTTTCCAGAAAGTTACATCACAAATTGAGTGTTAGAGGTATTATCAATTTTTTGCTTCGACAAGTTGGATTCATGTTGAATCCTAGAATCCGATGCCTCAATCCGAGTATAGTTTGAATCCAATTCAAATTATAATTTTTTAATTCTAGTTCAACCCAAAATTTTAAAACCTCAACCCAAACTTTTTTTTTTAGATTGGGTTCGGGTTGTCTCGCCCAAATTGCATCCTTAACTGATATATATACTCAAAAAATAATAAATAGTATAGCATATATATGCAAATTTTATGGTCTCTCTCTCACTCTGGGGCAATGTCAGCCCTGGCCTTCCATCCCATATTAAACAGTATGGCTGTCGGGGGCGTCTTCCAAACCATTAGCATAGTTATTTGTTGTATTTGCCGCACACAAAAAATAAAATCTAACTTTGACAATAATTCCAGTAATAAAAAAGGCAAAATAAATACTAAGAGTGAGATGTTGTACAAATGATGGGATGAAATCGTTAACTCCAGAGAAACCTTAGTTACATCGAAGCTGAATAATATGTAGCAATGCCATTTTTGCTCTAATAATTACATCCCACTGGAACTAACAATGCCTCACTACTGTATCGTTCCATGTAATTAATTCATTTCGCCCAATTGGGGACAATACAATTCATCCAAATTTCAAGTATGCAACACCTAAGTTAACTTGAAAAACGAAGTCGCGACTCAATTGAATTAGAATAAATGTGGTGTTGGTGATAATGCTGCGAAGCCCACTGGGTGGGAGGATTTCCTGACATTCACCACAAAATAGAAGTCCATTAGCCCACACATCAAGTACCAAAACAACTTAGCAAGAGAACTCAAACAAGAAATAAACCAAAAAGATTTGTAACTAGGATCGACCCTTAATTGATCTTCAATTTCAATCATTCTTCATTAAAAAATCAAAAAGATTTTTTTTTCCCTTTCTTTATTATTTCAATTCTATCTCTATAGGTATAAAATACCAATAGTTAATAGAAATGACAATCGAGTAATACATAATCTTGCTATGTATGCAAATGTTATTGATCACTCTTTTAGTTGGAAGGAGCAGAGCAGATCCCGAGTGTGTAAGGTCGTTCCTTTTTGTAGATTTTTCCTACGAATAAACCAATTTATATATATATATATATATTTTTAATTCCCTCAAATTTATATATGGTATCTTTATAGAGGTAAACTTTCTTTATTTTTGAAAGTGAAATTTACCAGTACTCGTCCCCATAGTTGTAAGACGTGGCCTTTGATTTTGCCCTTGAAGATTGTTTCTTCTCCGATCTCATCATCCCTTCGTTGTTCTTACACACGTCGGGGACGACGTTGTCCTCTGAAATCACATTAAGAGCTGGTTTCCAATGTTTTGTCGTTCGCGATTGGGTTAACCGCCGCCCACGACTGATGTTCACCCCCACCACTCCTTGCTGCTGGGCCGCGGTGGCAGTCTCCGCCGCCGGTGTGACTGTGGCGCCTCCACAACATGACCCGAATCCTTCGAAGAACTTCATATGTAAGATGGAGTTCCAAACACCCTCTCTCTCTCTCTCTCTCTCTCTGTGGGGTGTTTGGTGAAATGGAATTACGTGAAGCTCTTTATGGTTGCCATGGAGGACGCTGTCTATATATAGGAAAAATATTGATTGCAGCCTCGTGTCATGTCAGCCACCAATTATGCAAATAAATAAGAAAGTAGACTGTTAATAACAACTCATTCATTATAGATAAACAGATAATTATTCACTTTTTTTTTATATATAAATTAATTAAAAATAATTGATGTTGAATGCACGACATAATATAAATGATTTTAAGAGGAATGTCGATAATTGTTAATGAATTTATTTGAGACCGTCAGATAAATTTATTAAAATTTATCATATATTTATATTATAGATAACTATTCAAGTAAAATTTATTTTATTTATTTAATATTTTATTATTAATTAATGATATCATATTATTAATATCGACACAATATCACTATTGAATTAAATATTCTCACACTATAAGGGATTGGATGTTTTGTTACGTGGCTTTTTGTGGCTTCTAAATCCGAGATAGGGTTTGTACTTAGACGCTGTTTGCCGGACCGCCGGTTTACCATATGATATGGGTTACTAGTTGGTCCCACATTGGTTGTGCTATTGGATTTGCCGGATTTGATTTTCCTTGGAAATATCTAAAGGTTATTTTGTTCCTTCTTCTTAATATTTTTTGGAGGAGAAGAATCTTAGATGAACCATTAACTCGACAATCTAAGCTTTATTTTAATTCCAAGGATATAACATAGATGAATTATAAATTTATACGTTTTAAGTTTAAATTTTAACAACTCTTTCGAATTAGGTCATAAAAAAATTATACCTCGTGAATATCTCCGACGTGGATGGCATGTTTTTGACCAGATCGATAAAGAAATTAATCAAGATGTGCGTAAATTGAATCGAACACCTTTGACCGTTAAATAAAAAAAAATACTTCATTTTGTAGAAGTAGTCGGTGCAAGCTGATGAAGATCTTGATCCAACTGTAGAAGCCATTCCTTTGTCAAATGCTTTTGTGAGAATCCTTTTACAAGTAGGGAGGCTGCTGACTGATTCGTACTGCATATTGTTGATTGAGCAGCAAGTATAGGGTTGAGTAATCGCCGTTGCTGAACTTGAGTACTGTCCAACTTAATTTGTTAAATTTTAGATTAAAAATGGGTTACTCAATTTAGACTCAATTTTGGGTTCAATTCGAATTAAACCCCATAAGTATAAAACAAAACCTAACATCTCCACCAAATTATTGATGTAGGTTTTTGTTAAACAGTTACTGATCATTAGAGAAAATGGTTGACCTGCAAGGTATAGAGATGATCCAAGGGAGATCAACATTTCTTGGTAAATTTCATGTGATGCTCAAGTCAATTTGACAAGATGGACACAATGGAAGGAGCTTTTAGGGTTTCTGTGAGCATATGTTTGGGTCGTGTCATGTGTGAGACACCCCTTTGAATAGGATTAATTTGCATAATTATTGGCATATCTCTTCAAGAGATACTATAATTGGGGTTGATCTATAGGGGATGTAAGAGCAACTATTATGTTGATTTTCACGTAGGAACATGATTAAAGCGACGACTACCATTGAGGTGAGTTTTTCTTAATAAGTTTTGATTGAGTTCCTTTGACTTAAGCTAGTGTACACATCGAGCGATTTTACTATGCTGGCCTAAGCATAATTCCCCCACATTAATTCATTTTGAATTGATGGGACATATAAAAAACTGGGGCACACTGTACAATGTTTTTTTTTTTTTTTTTTTCTTTCACATTTTTTAATTGTTGAATAAAAATGATGATACTAAAAATTAGATAAAGTTAAGCTCGAACCCCACAACTCACGATCAATAGTTTGGGGTGTGCAAGTTGGAAATCTTCAACAATTAGACTCTAGTGCACACAATGACAGAGACAACTCCCACTTTTAAGGAGGTCATGTCACACTTAAGGAATGTAATTGTAACAGCCAAATATTCTAGCACATAAATTGCAACAGCCTTAAAGGACAACACGCTCATTACGCTAGGAGGATAATGTTTACGGGAGGATCGCAGAGATCATGCAAGACAATCACGTAGGGCAACTGCACATTATAAATAGCGGACCAATCCTTTACATTTGTAATCAAACAATCATCTGTATATTTACTTTATGTAATCTCCTTCCCCTCAATTAACAGAAAACTCTCCATGAGAGTGGATTAACCAAGTATCTAAATTGATAAATCATTATAAATTCTCTATTTATTCATCTTCTATCATCTAATTGAATCGATTACTCAACTCTCAAGAGCCTAAAAACTCTGACCGGACATTCCAATGGCCCCAAGCCTTCAAGTAGTTTTCGTATATTCAGTTGACCAGAGCACACCATCAGAAAGTAATCTAAATGATCATTAGATTATCACCCATAATCTCCCTCTTTTAGGTTGCCTTTTTAATGGTGGGGCCAGATAACACATATGAGGCTGAAATATGAAAGAAAAATCTAGAAGTACAAGACGTTGAGGAGAAGGAGAAGGAGAAGTGGCTCATTCAAGTACTTGCCCACTCTGGAGGGAAATGCCGACGCAGCTCAACCACAAAATATTAATGGATACTAGTAAATATAATAATTTCAACTCTGTCATCTCACCTCAGAACTTTTCATTAGAATGGCCATTGTGGCACACAGCTTCTTCATTGGTCTAGACCCTAGAGCATTCTTTCAAACCATCATTCTTTGAACGAAAACAATCCTTCATGTACTTCTGACAAGCCAATATAGCTATTCCGGTGGCGGTCCCAACCTCCATATTTGGTGAAATTAACATCATAGAATGATCAGGAGAATTGGGTGTGTCTCGTTGCATGTCCAGCACCGTCACTTAATTGCATGGTCTTCTAAAACAGGTCGGTACCGACAAAAAAAAATTAGATACCATACCTCCAAAATTAATTATTTTAATAGATATTTTTATAATTTTTGTGGATCATTTTATAAATAAACAATTTATATTTTTGTAGGTGATTTATTATTTTTGTGGGTATTTTTATCATTTTTTTTTGGTATAAAAAAAATTATTACTTTTGTGAGTATTTTTATCATTGTTGTGATAACTATTTGTACCACTCTTTTTCAGTATTATAACAATGGTAAAAACACCTATACAATTATGATAAAATTATCTACAAATATGATAAATTGGTCAAAAAAAATGGGTACCATTGACAACTCTTAAGAAATATGAAAAGTATGAGAGATACACTTTCTATCTTTCAAGAATAAAAAGTAGGAATGATACACTTTCCTTCATTTGTGTTTAGTTGGATAGATGAAAAATAAAAATTACTAATTTTTTTTGTAAAGGCTAAGATTAGGGTTGACAATCGAGTAGTGTCGTTTCAGATTTGTATTGAGTAATAAAATTATGAGCCTTTTATATTTCTTGTTAGAGTGTCATGTCATTTTCAAGTTCACGTCATAAAATTTGTGTCTAGTTTGAGTCTTGTCATCATGTTGAATCAAAAATTTTCATCCCTAGTTAAAATAAAAAAAAATATTTTTTTTAATTTTTAATTTTTTAATTTTTTTAAGTATATATACACATATTTTATCATTATATTTATATATGAAGATAATGTATACATAATATATATAGATAAATAAAATACATCTTAACACAAATAATTAATTTTTCATCTACTTTCCTTCCGATTTTGGAGGGATTAATTTTGGTGAGTTGGAAGAAAAATTAATCCATCCACTTTTCCATCCTTTCTACTTTCATTCTTTACTAAACATGATGTTTTATCTATATCTCAAACTTTTTATTATTTTAATTTTTCATCCTTCTATTTTTTCATAGTAACAAACAGAGCACAAGGTCTTGCACACACGGTACTTGTGTGCAAATAACAAGAAAATAATAATAAAAATTGTAGGTGGATAAGTGCAGGCAATAGTACTGAGTTACAAAGAAAATATTTATGGTTTGAATGTAAGAAATTATGGTGATTGAATTGTTAGTGCACTTTATTTAATCAGGATTACTACTAATTTAATGATTACATACAATATATTAGGCCCTCACATTAAGACTGGATTTTTAAACTTTTGATAGTCATTTTAGTTTGAACCTACTTGAAATGTTCAATTAAAGAGTGGTGTTCCACTGGGTTGCGAATGATGATCAGAAAGCTGAACACACAATCCGGTGGTGATAACAGTTAGTCTATGCATTTCTATGATGGGCAAATTGCTTTTTAAATCTTCAACTATGACTTTTTATTTTTTGGCTTCCGATTGTTCTCCATTATTAACGTCCGTACACATCTAACGGAAAGTTTTTTCATTTTTGATGGTGTATTTTAACGTAATGCAATTTTGTGATGACGAGTAAATGAAAGAAATAATATTGGATTTATTAGGATCTGAGCTACTAGACTCAAGGGAATGATAGTGAGAGTTGTTGGAGAGTTGAAGAATTAACACAGTAGAAATATAGTGGTTCACTAGTTCGGGAGCTCGGCTAATCTACTTTTCAATGGAGATTCTTACTCCTTCCTTCACTATTTACTATACCAAAAGGTTTACAGAATATAAGATGTGATGCTAGGGTTCTGCCCCTCTGTTGGGGGCGTTACATAATATTTATAGGGGTATCCTTTAATCTATGAGATCTGATCTGTGATCCTCGCTATCTATCTGAGGAATTCTCCTTGATCTTAGGAGAGTATCTTGATTGATTGAGGATTTTGTGCCTTGAGTGTTACTTCAAACCATTTGTCAAGTTCTTTGTAGTATCAAGTTGTTTCCTCATTATTTCAGCTTATTATCTCGCTTGAGGAGAGCTCTAGTTTTGGATTTCTGAGCTCTGCATAGCTCTAACTTTCTGAGCTCAGCATACCTGACCTCCATGTTTGACCTCCGTTCCCGAACTCCTGTTCGGGAATCATTCTGAGTGTTATCAGTTGCCCCCCCAGCTCTTGGCTGAGTTGACTTGGGCAAGGGCTGAACTTAGGATGTAACAGTAATGGCTTCCCAATTAGCGATTTCAAAATTTACGCAAGAATA